AAGTCAGGAATACAAATGAAAGGGGTTGACATTCCTTGCCGAGGGTCGATCGCAATGCATAAGATATTATTTCCAAAAGCTAGGTAAATTGGAATCAACAGAAGGCAAAGCCTACGCAGAGTAAAACCGAGCGCTGAAGCATTTCATNGAAAGGGGTTGACATTCCTTGCCGAGGGTCGATCGTAATGCATAAGATATTATTTCCACAAGCTAGGTAAATTGGAATCAACAGAAGGCAAAGCCTACGCAGAGTAAAACCGAGCGCTGAAGCATTTCATTTGCAAGTGGACATCCTTCGCCCGATTTAGAACAGTCCTATGAGCTTTAGCCTTTTAGAGAGTAAAAAAGAAGTTAAAAAAATATATTAACTATTCGCAAAGGGCAAAGAACCATCAATGGTTTATGCGCGGATGCTTGTAGACCCTCCTTGAGTTTACATTAAACTGTGACCTTAACTAGAGCATCCTCTCTAAAACTGATGGACTCACTACGAAAGGAGAGTTTTCAAGCTGACTTTTAGCTTTCTCTTTGCGCCTTTCTCTTAATGATGGAATGTTTTCAAAAGGACTACGAACGATCGAAGATGGCTATGAAGGCTTACTATAAACTAATGAAAATTTTCAAAAATTTACTTTTTTCAAAAATTCTATATGAAAATCGAAAACAATCAAAACCGTCAGAGAAGAAACACCTGCGACCACATGAGGTCCTCGCTTATTAAATACAGCAAAATCCACATTTGCTTAAAAAAATGCACCTTTAATCCACATTCATATATACAAACATACATACATATCCTCGAAACTCCATCTGCAGTGCGAGTGTGCCAAAGACTGCGGATGCTACTGAGTTTTTAACATATCATTAACATTTTATCACTTTGATCACTGCTGCTGCTGGTCATAGACATACAAACAAGTACATATATACGTACATGCATTCATACATACATACACACACATTTCAATTGCTTACAAAAAAAAATATTCAAATCTCATATTACCAAATCAATCCGTTTTTATTTCAAATAGAATTTCCCTACACACACTACCTCACCTCGTATATATTCTACATGCATGTATGTTTGTGTGCACGCATGCATAAGTGTAATGATTGTGTGCTTATTATACCACGCGCTCAAATGTGTTTATTGGTTTTCCTTTTCCCAAACAGAACGTGCCAGCAACCTTAGAAGATAGAAGGCAAATCTTCCTTCATCGAATCTGAAGGGATAACGTCGGCGAAGGATTCCACCATACGCATACACATACACATACATGCATGCATCAGTAGCGGAAAACATGCTCAACACATCTTTGCATCGCGTAAGACACACAGCCATTCACAATCGAGGAGAGGCTGTTATTGAGGCGTGTAGTCATATGAGTAGATGCGCAAATACAGCTGGTGTTTCGACTGCGTTTAGCATGCACATACGTACACATTTCAAAATATGCATAGTGCGGTATGTACGATTTTCGCGAAAAGCTGCAAATTGAGACCAAAAAGGTAGCAATTTGTGATCCAACCAAGAATTGTTGGGCGAGTCAAGGCAAGATGTTCAGAATTATATTTATTATCAAATTGAGAGGGCATTCAAAGTTTAGTTGTTGTCTTTGTGGGCGTGTTGCCGCAAGCAGCTGGAGTGGCAGTTATAAATTATTGAAAATTGTGCAAAAATCTCAAATATTATATAAAAAGAATAATTCGGAAAACTTCAAATGTGTTTTGGTACTAAAAAATTATCCCAAAAACACCTAAAATAATTCTAGAAATATTAAAACATTCGAAATTTTCGAATACTATCTCCAAAAAATAGATAATACTGCGTGCGCGATTCCAATTCAGCGTTTCCAGGTAGTTTTTGGTCGTTACAGCCGCGTAGGGCCGAGTGTAGTCTTGTTGCAAATTCACTTTGTCTTGCGTTCCGATAAATTCTAGCCGTTTTTCACAAAATGCACTGCTCAAACGCTTGAATTGTTGTGGATAACGTTTCCCATCATTGGTTTTAGCAGCTCATAATTAACCAAAACCTTATGGTCACACCACATGCAGTTCATGGCGTTTGAAAGGTGGATGTCTTCCTTAGGTGTCGATGCAGACGATACCACCTGGCAACCTGGAGGAGCATTTAATGTCATGAAGCAAATCTAAAATAGGACGAACCATGAAATTGTGTGGGGCAGCGTATACTGTAGNCACACCACGTGCAGTTCATGGCCTTTGAACGGTGGATGTCTTATGTCGATAGGTATCGAAGCCTCAGGCTTGGCACAGTATTTTTTCTCCTTGATCTGTATATACTTTTCATATCCAGTAACTATCCGGTGCAATAACACCTTCCTTTGATGTTTTTCAAGAAGCAGTTCCGATCTGATAAATCCACTTCAACTCGATTGGCTTCGATTTCCTTGCCTTTGAATGAATGAAAACTGCTTTAACCAAAAGGGAATTGTTTACTGAGCCACTCCCTATAATTCTGCGCTTTGCACGGATCTTGAACCAGTAAGGTGTCATCGTCACATTTCCAATGTAATAGGTGATCGCTTACTAAATGAGTAACAGCTTGTAAGTGGAGACATCTTTGGAGAGCTAACCGACACAATTCGTGACCTAATATATGCATGTATATACAGTGAAAGCCCAAAGTCTACATGCAGCTACAGTTTTTCCTTTTTCCTACAATTTGAATAATAAAATAATCCCCCATAATTTTGTGCTGGGCACTGAATAGCAATGGACTTTTCAGTAGGACACCCCGTAAAAAACACTGATATCAGAAAAAATCGTAATCTTCGACTGGAGTTTACACGGGCACACAAAGGAATGGAATTTCGGTGAAAAATTTTATATATATAATATATTGGGTAGGAATGGCTGCTGCAAAAACTGGAGTAGAAAAAGTTCCGAAATGGAACCAAAAAATTTTCTACCAAACGCGAAGCATGGCGGAGGCAGCGTCGTGACTTGGAAACCTGCGGCAGTGCCTTTCGTTGAAAAGATGGCATTTATTGAAGGTAATATCGAATTCAATATAAAAGTTTGTTGGAACAACATTTGAAGCCAGCAGTGGAATGTTTGGGGCTTGGGCAAGGTTGGATTTTACAACAACAACAATCTGTAAGGGAAACGCTCTTATATTACGCTCGTAGGCAACATTATGTATATAGCGTCACAAAGCCCAGACTTAAAACCGATAGAGCATGTAAAGGAGCATTTGGAACGGAAACTTCGACAATTTCGAATTACAAACACGGATTCATAAAAAACCCACCCAAAAAGTGTATGGGCCAAAATTACTCCGGAAGAGGTATCCAACTAAGTTGCATCAATGCAGCGTTGCCTTCAAGCAGTAAAAGACAACACCGGTGGCCTACTAAATATTAAAATAATTCAAAACTGCATCATTAGTTTTTCCATTTAATATACAAATTGTAGAAAACAGGGAAAGCTGTGGCTGTCTGTAGACAGTAGTCTATCATTGTGAATTTTTTTTTTTACAAAAAAACTCAATTTCAGGAACAACAAAATTTATTCTTTAAAATTAAAGTATTTTCAGATAATTTTTTTCACAAATCTTGAAATGTATTGCAGAAGCTGTTTTTGATTTAGAAAAATATTATATTATAGAAAATGTACCTGAAAAAGTGTTATAAATAAGAAAAGTGTATTAGTCTAGTAAATGATGCAAAAAGGAAGGTAGTTTAACTAAAAAAAAAAATTAAAAATGACAGAAAAATATTTTTCGACACTATATTTTGTTTTTATTTCAAATTAACAAATATTTCATTTTTTTCAGAAAAAAAAAAATTTTTAGTCCGCCTGAAAATAATTTCATTTTCATTAGATTTCAGAAAATACAATGGAAAGCCTTAAAGATTTTAATTGGAACGTTATATTTTTCTTTATTCGCATTTTTTAACACTGAAAGGTTTTGCATTTTTTTTAATAATTTTTTCAATTTTCGAGAGTTAAAAATTTAATTTTTTTATAACTTAAATTATTAGTACCAAAAAAGAGTAAAATTCAAAAAAAAAACCTTTTTATGCCAGATGATTAATGATTTTGAAAAAATTTTATACCATGATCTAGTCTATGTATATAAAAATTTATTTTTATGAAAAAACTCAAAACTATTTCAAATAAATTTTTACATATTGTATTAAAAATTATTAAATATGTTTAAAAAGCCCAAATATATTTTGGAAAACACCAAGTAATTTCAAAATCTGCAAAAATTTTTATTTTTGGGAGAATCATTAATTAAATATTAAAGAAAAAACAAAACAAAAGATAAATTAATAAAGTTTTCGTCAGAGGTTAAAAGCATTTTTTTTTTCTGATTATTTTCAAAAAAAATTTCAAACTTATTAAAAAAAATCAGCTAATTCTCAAAAAGTTTGTGTAAAAAATTTATCGAAATAAAACTCAGTTCAGAAAATACCAAAAAGGTTGCCCAAACACAGCTTGACCACTCCACTTCGACTAGCGGTCAGTGTGAATCGAGAGCTTAGTTTAAGTACTGCTTAGCTAACTGCGAAGTATGATGCATATTTTTTTAGTCTCTCTAATACTTCTGCCGCCTAACAGAGCGTAACATTTTATATTTCTAGTATTGCAATCTGACAATTGACAGCTGTGTCGTAAAATTTGACATTTTTAAAATATACAAATATATTTGTATTGCTCAAAGTAACTTAAAATATTCAGGGAGAGAGTTTTGATATCTTTAAAAATCTTGACACGAAAAATATTGTTATGTAAACTTTCTTTGAGTCAAATGTTGAAACCTTGACAAAACCGCCACCTTCAACCCACTGTGCGAACACTCACACTTGAGGTGTTAAATATTCAGACAGACAATTAGACCAACTGACAGTTTAATTACTTGTTTTGACAAGCAAAGTTAGCCTCTTCACAGCTATAAATACAGAAGGGCAGCACATTTCAATAGCACAGCAAAAAGGATATCCAGACTAAAGCCGCAAAATACAAAAACACCTCGAGAAAATGGCAACGAAAACAATTCGGCCTACGCAAAAATTTGCAAAAATGATCAAAATTGTGCGTTTCATATCCAGTTTGGTCGGTGCTGATGTCGCCGATGAGAATTATCGCATCAACATTGTAACCGTTCTAGTGATACTTTGCATTATCATCTATTTTATCTTTACCGGCACCACTGTGGCATCAGTTTTCGCCGAGAATTGGAAATATTTGTTAGAGGCTTCATGTATGGTGGGCAGCGTTTTGCAAGGCATAACCAAACTGATTTCAGGTGTCGGTTGTACCAAAATGATATCTAGTATATGCAAGGAGCTTGAGAACCTCTATCAGCACTATGAAACGAAGGGTGAGGCGTATTGTAAAGTTTTGAATGAGGGTTGCGAACGTGTTTGGTATAGTATAAAAATGGTTGGACATATTTATGCTGCGGCCATTTATGGTATACTATTGCTGACAGGATTTCTCATATTGACTACCAATGAGAAGGTTTACGTAATGCATTTCTTCATACCCGGCGTGGATGTGGAGACAACCTATGGTTATCTCTTTACGCTCGCTGTGCATACAGTAGTTTTTCTAGCTGGCGCTTTTGGGCTTTTTGCTGGTGATTTATTTTTCTTGATTTTCTTGGGGCAAACACAATTGTTTCGCGATATTTTGGTGTTGAAGGTAAAAGCGTTGAATGAGGCTGCTGCGGAGAATGCTAAAAATACTGAAAGTTTATTAATCGATATTATTGAATGGCATCAGTACTATACGGAGTGAGTATGGGTATTTTGTATGAAATTTTCAGCGATTAATTCCTTTGATTCATCAACAGTTATAATAAGCGCTGCAATGATGTATTTTATTACATAATTACTATGCAAATTGTCACTTCGGGCATCTCAATAATTTGCACCATGTACATTCTGCTAATGGGCGATTGGCCGGGCGCTTATTTATATATTTTCGTGGCGTTTTGTGGACTTTATCTCTACTGTATTATTGGCACGAGCACGCAAACTTGTGTAAGTCATTGGCATAAGATAACAAATATTTATTCAAATTTTATTATTTAATTTAAAAAAAACAACTGATATCTCACATCTCCACAGAATGCCGAATTTTTCGATGAAATCTATAATATTAATTGGTATGAATTGGATGTTAAATGCCAGAAAATGATGGTTTTCATCATAAAAAAGTCACAAAGTCCTGCTGAGATAAAAATTGGCGGCGTCCTGCCACTCTCCGTACAAACGGCATTGCAGGTGATTTGCTTGGGATTTTCAATTTTCTTAAGAATTTTATGAATTAATTTTCCTTTTTCCTTTAACAGATAACCAAATCTATTTATGGGTTATTTACAATGATAATTGGCGTTATTGAGGAAAATAATTGATGAACAGTATTTGAAAAATATAAAGAAAATCAATCGATCACGCGAAATGAAAAACTCTTAAAAAAAATTTTTAATAAAAATTAAGCTTTTATAGCATTCACTTGCACAATATCGCATAAAAGCTTAATTAACCTAGAGAAAATATTAAACTACTTTTGACTTTCGCATAAAAAACACTTAAGGATCAACGAAAAGAACGAGCAGGTAAAGAATGTAAAGAGTCTATGGCACCATTAACGGAAGAATTGCATATTGCGGCGTTATCTCCATACGTTATTGTTGTTGGTCAAATATTATAAAAGGAGCAGGAAAATGGAAAATAGAGATGCACTCAATAGACACTCAAATGGCACTTATGATAATTAAATGTTTGAATAAAATAGCGATGTTTGAAATATTAATATTTGTTCCTTTCTCTACAAAAAAAATTAATCGATAAATTATAATACGAAATAATAAAAAGTGGAATAAAAAAACAAACAAAATAAAACGAAATAAAATACAATAAACTTCATTCCAAATTAAATAAACAAAACAATGAACAAAATTAAATTCAATATATTATTGTATAATATTAATTAAATAATATAAAATAATTTAAAATAAAATAAAAAAATAAACTACAATGAAATAATTGAATAAAATTAAATAAAATGTAATAATAAAATAATTTAATATCAAATTAAATTACAATAAAACAAAATAAAATGTAATAAGACAAAATAAAATAAAATATATAATAATATACAATAAATATAAAAAAAAAAAAAACAAAATAAAATAAAATAAAAAATGAAAGAAAATACAATAAACTTAAATTAAGTTATATAAATAAAATAAATAAATTAATAATAAATTGATTTAAACAAATAAAAATAAAACAAAATAAAACACAATAAAATAAAAAGTACGATAAAAGAAAATATTAAAATTAGTTTAAATAAATTAATATATATAAATGTCATGAAATAAATTGAATTAAATAAATAAATCTAAAACCAATGAAATAAAATACAACAAAACAAAACAAATTACAAAAGAATTAAATTACGTTAAATAGAGTATAATGAAATAAAATACAATAAAATAAAATTGAATAAAATAAATAATAATAAAATCAACTAAAGCAAGGACAAATAAATTATATAAAAATAAAATTTAAAATAATAAAATATAACAATAAAATATAAAGAAAATACAGTAAAATAATACTAAATGAATTATAATTAATTAAAATATATTAAAATAAATTAAAATAACATAAATACAATCGAATATTAAAAATGGAAATGAAAAAAAAAAAAAACGAAATAAAAAAATAAAATTGAAACAAATTATAAAAAAAATTAAATACACTAAAAAAATAAACTAAACTTAAACCGAATTGTATAATAAAAATAAAATGTTAAAATAAAATATGAAAAATAAACTACATAAAATAAAATACATTAAAAAAAAATAAAATAAAATACAAGAAAGTAAAATACATTAAAATAAAAATTAAATCACACGAAATAAAATGCAGCTAAATAAAACTAAATTAAATACGTAAAATAAAATACAACAAATTAAATTAAAAAAAACTAAATTACATTAAATAAAATGCAACAAAATAAATTCGAGTAAAATAAAATAAANGAAATTAAATTAAATTAAATAAAAAAATAAAATAAATAAAATAAAATTGAATTAGATAACACTAAATAAAATACTATTAATTAAAATAACAAAAAATTTAAAATAAAGGAACATTATAAAAATGAATAATATGCCATGAAATAAAATAAGCAAAAGGAAAATTTAACTTAAAAAAAATAAAATTAATTATTAATGAAATAAAATAAGATGGAAAAATTAAATTAAATGCTATAAAAGACATAATATGCAATGAAATTAAACAATATAAAATAAAATGAATCAAGAGAAATCAAAAAATAGAAAATTAAATAAAATTCAATTTGGCAACTATAAAATAGAGGAAACCAAAAATTAACATAAAATAAAATAAAAGAACATAAAAATAAATTGAATTAAAAATTGTATTATGTATAAAATAAATTTAAATAAAATGAAACAAATAAAAGAAAATGGAATATAATTCAGGTAAACAATATAATATAAATAAAATGAAAAATAAAACATAATGCAAAACAAGATGTAGCAAAATGAAATAAAATCAATTAAAATTTAACTTAAAATAAAATTAAGCTTAACATAATAAATTAATAAAAAATAGTTAAAATAAAATTAATAAAAAAATTAAACAATTAAAATGCATAATATTTACAAACTTCGGAACATATTAACTTTAAAATGAAATTTAATGAATGTAAAATAAGTGATTCTAAGTAAATTTTTTGTAAACCACTCTTCCTAGTTTATCTACACTAAAATAATTGTTAAATTTTTTCATTGTATTTTTTTTATATTTTAACATTTATATGTGCTATTTTTTATTAATTTAAGAAATAGTAAATTGAAGAGTAAATGTAAGTGTGTTAATTCTCCTCGTCCAAAAAGCGTAACATCATGGTAAATATGCCGTAAATTGTTTTTGTAATCTGAAAATAGAAATATTCATTTCTTAAATTATAAATAATTTAAATTTCTTATTACCGAAAGTGCTGTTTGCACAGACAGTGGTAGAAAACCGCCAACTTTGATTTCAGCAGGTTTTTGGGACTTCTTTAAAATGAAAACCAACATTTTCTGGCTTTTAACATTCAATTTATACCAATCAATATTGTAAAGTTCTTCACAAAATGCATCATTCTGGTAGAAAATAAAAGAATATATAAGTAATTTACTAATTCATATATGCACATAATTTTATTCAATTTTTAAATATATTTTAATAATACACTAATAAAAATAATTAAAAAAAAATTTATATAATAAAATTTAAAACAATTTTTTTTTTTAAATTTTTTTATTCTAATTATTTTTTTTAGCAAAAGAAAAATATTTTTCAATAAAAAATATACACGTACTCATATACTCACACATATTTGAATTTTCGTGCCCATAATACAGTAGAGGTAGAGACCACTAAAGGCCACAAATATATATAAATACGCGCCCGGCCAATCGCCCAAGAGCAAAATATACAGAGTACAAATGATCGAGATGCCCGAAGTGACAATTTGCATAGTGATTATGTAATAAAACAAATGATTGCAGCGTCGATTGTAACTGCAAATACACAAATTCATAATAATTATAATAAATACAAATAGATGTCTTATTAAACGGAAACTTCAAAGGTCCACTCACTCCGTATAGTATTGATGCCATTCGATAATATCGATTAATAAACGCTCAGCCTCGTTTGAGCAGCGGTCAGCAGCGACATTTAACGCCTGCACCTTCAGCGTCAGCAAGTCCAAAAACAACATTGGTTGACCCAAAAAGAGCAGAAAAAAGAGATCACCAGCGAAGAGACCAAAAGCGCCAGCCAGAAAAACCACCGTGTGCACTGCCATTGTAAGCAGGTAGCCCATTTGGGTGTGCACATCAAGACCGGGTATAAAGAAATGCATAATGTACACCTTCTCATCGGTGGCAACAATGAAAATGGCTGTCATAAATAGTATACCAACGCCAGCAGCTAAATAAATTTGTCCAACCATTTTGATGACTTGCCATACACGTTTACAGGATAAATGTAGCACCGCTGTGTACTCCTCACCCCTTGTCTCATACAACCGATAGAGATCTTCCAACTCAAAACGCATTGCACAAATTTCTTTAGCAAAAGCAATACCCGAAGTAAGCTTGGTGATGCCTTGCAGCACGCTGCCCACCATACAGGATGCCTCGAGCATGTATTCCCAATTCTCGGCGAAAACCGAAGCCACAGTCGTGGCGGTGAATATAAAATAGATGATAATACAGAATATCACTATCGCGGTTACAATATTTATGCGGTAATTCACATCACAAACATCAGCACCGACCAAGCTACAAATTAGGCGAAAAATTTTAACGATTTTTGCAAAGGACTCCGATGGGCTAACCTTCTCAGCGGCCATTTTGTTGTGCGGAAAAAGTGAAAGTTAACTATCAGAGTGTTCTATATTCAATTTTAGTAAGGAATATGGTGCAAGCGATGCGGCCGTTCAGTACTTATATAAATTTGCACTTGAAAAATGCGACCGAGTAGACATCAAAACAAGTAATTAAACTGTCATGGAAAAGGCTATAATTGCGGCGGTAAATGTGCCAGACACCCTTTAAAAATTAATAGTACGGTTTTTTTTCGTCTTTTCTATTTGCTTTTTACCACTTTTATGCATATTATATTTGTGGCAATGTATGTGCAGTTATATCTTGATCTGAATTTCACCTTAACCTAGCATTATTGGAGAGAATTAAGGCACTTTTCTTTTAATTCTATTGACAGAATTTTTCATTGAAAACAGGTTAGTGTAGTTGCCTGGTTTTGCTGCTACTAATATCGAAGGCAACCGGAACCCGGAAAGTGGGATCTTTGAAGGTGTCACTGTCTAGAAGGTTGGTAAAATTAAGACTCAGCACCTTACGAAATCTAAAACCATTTAAAGGAGAGCAATTCCACAGTAGCCGAAAGGTTATAAGGAATGTCATGGGTTCGAGACCTCATCCGACCAACATGAAAATTATAAAAAATTAAAATATTTAAAAAAAAGTAAGTTAATTTTTCCTTTTGGGGTGGCCCCTCGGGTGTTTTACCAAAGAAAAGCTAAAAAAAAAACACATCAGCCGTCAGAGGTGGCTTAGAATGAACTTAGCATACTTCATTTGTTAGGAAAGCATCAAGCGGTTCACCACAGATTAGAAGAGGAACTCGCTTGAAAATCGTTTCAGTTATAAAAAATAATTAAAACAAGATTTTCGGACGCCCTCCCAGTACGAGAGCAAAATGGTCGCTGATTTCGCCACATTATCCAAACATTACTCAACGATTTCACTGCGAAACTTCACGAAATGGCCCAAGTTTGACTGACTTCGCTGAAAATATGGTTATAGAGCTCCAGATATCCTGATATCCAGCAGTGCGAGCGAAATCGAACAATAAACGAGTGTGCGAGTACTCGTCGCTCAAATATTTGAGTTGCTCGAAATTTTCCTACAAAATCTTGAGCTCTAGTACAGAGTACTAGTACATAGTACTAAAGAGTGATCCATTTCGGAGTTTCATAATTTTTAAAAAAAAAAAACACGAAATTCAAATTTAATGGAGATTTTTTATTATCATATTATTTTTTGAAGATTATCTCGTTCGAGCATTTCCACTGTTGACTGACGACTAACACACGTAATGTTTTGTTCCATGGCCTGAATCGATGCGGGATTGTCCGCATAGACTTTAGACTTTACATATCCCTTCAGAAAAAAGTCTAACGATGTAATATAACAAGACCTTGGTGGCCACGTGAAATTATCTACTCACCGAAGTTTTCACTCAATAAACCCAAATGTCGCCGAGTTCACAAGCCATCAAATAGTCTGTTATCATTCCGGGATAACGGTTACGTTCTCACCGACATCATATTTGAAGAAATATGAACCGATGATTCCACCGACACAAAACCCACACCAAACCGTTGGATAAAATGGCAGCAATTGAATCTCTGCAGGTTTATCAGGGTTTGCTTGTTTACATGCTCATTGAGCCGAAAATGAACCTCAGCGCTGAACGAAATTTATCTCGACAACGTCGCATCTTCTTTTCAAGAACCCATAGTGCTTTACTTGAAACACAAAATTAACAATCTCGACTTTCCCTAGATAGAAAAATATGTAACTTAATTTGCTCTCTCTCAAATCATGAAAAATAGAAAATCCTTAATAACGTCTATACAAGATATTCTTCTTAATTTCAGAGCAGTCGGTTAAGGTGGAGACAACTAAAATGAGAACAATGGAAAATGGATCGGTAAACATATTTCTGGCAGCCGCGGTAGCCGAGTGGTTAGCATTGCGCTACGCCATACGGAAGGCTCGGGTTCAAATACGCGTGTGACCAACATCTAAAATGGGCCCGATACTGTAAACGAACCTGCAGGTTCCGTTCCAGTAGTTTCGTGTTTGGTGGAATTGGCAAGGAATCATCTACTACGAGCTGCTCCCCTATGGCCAAACGCTCAATTCGGCCCTCTACCGCCAACAAATGGACCGCTTGAAGGCAGCACTAATGCAGAAGAGGCCATCGTATATTTGACTTAAATAGCACAAACTACACAAATATATCATGTTTTGAGATGTTTCAACCAAACTTTTTTAACAAACTAACAGCCAGAACAGCCAGATCGAAACACCACAGCATATATATTGGGTAAAAAATCCGTAAAAGAGCTTCTAAGGCATGAAATTTTCTGTTATATACACGTATACATATATAAATAAATATTGCCACCGAAAAGAGAAAACTTTATCGTATAGCCCCCCGCAGGCAGTTTCTCATCCTAAATTAAATAACATTGTCAGGAAAGGTATATAGATTTTGGCATGGCCGAATGCAGCTCGTTTTTCTGGTTTCTCTATATCTAAGGACATTGAAGGTAGCATCAACAGTGTTGGAACTAAGAATTTTCTGGCGCAATGGTTGATGAATTGTCGAAGTGGGCTTTTTCTTTTGCTATATTCTCATATGGATTCACAGAATCAGTCCTTTTCACAACGAAACGTTCGCTATTTCATCAGAAAACTATTGTAGATAAGAGTACCCAAATGTTTCCAGTCTCTTATCAAATGTGATAGATAACTTAAACAATTTATGATTTTTCGACTGAATTTTCCTGCATTACATGCCATTTCTTCTAGCAATAATTTCAAATTTTAGAACGATCGGCTGAAATGGAAACGAGAAAACGCAAGATAGCTGAGGATAGGTCAAACGATTTTCCACCACCAAGGCAAAATTCGCTATGAGGTTCTCTTCGGGTTTCGGCGTAATTTACAGTTAATACAAATATTCAGTGAACAAAAAATTGCATATGGAACGACTGCACCGTCTTTAAAGACTGTTTCTAAGTGGTGCCGAAGATTCCAGACCGGACGTTTTTCCGTAGTGGACGAGCTCCAAGAAGGTCAACCAAAATCTTCCACTAATTACGTCACTGTGGCTAAGACCTACGATTGACAAAAGAAAAGATTGCTAATAAATTGGGCATGAATTTCATGGCTGTGTGGCGAATATTAAGTTATCATCCGGGATACACAAATAAATCTGCTTGAATGACGCCCAAAAAGAACCTCGAGTGTATTTTGCTCAATTTTTTCACAACAATTTCGAAAATGGTCAGTCTAGAAATTTTAGTAAAGTCGGTTGTGGTTACGAATCTGGGTTCTACAAGTACAATCCAGAAACCACATAGCAGTCCCTGGTATGGAGCCCAACAGGAACAAACCCACCCGTAAAATCTAAGCAACAAAAATCTGCAGCCGAAGTAATGACGTCAGTTCACTTCACTTTAATCACAACAAACAGCCAAACTACGATTGGACACCTGCCTTCTGAGAGCAATCGTCAGCAACTCGATATAACTACGGAAACGATTTGTTTCCGGCAGAGTCAGAACCTTACGATCTGCTACAACTCGCGATGGGTGGGATGGATATTGAGAAATAAAGAGGGAAGCAAAATGCGTTTGCAGACGAAAAAAGGAAGAGACCGAAAAGCGTAAGTATGATGTGATGATGAGAAGCTGGCGGACAAGGGTAACGTTCGACATTTTAATGAATGAAAAGATATGGCAACTACCAGAAAGTTTCAAGGGCAGAGCATATTCATATTCCAATAAATGTGGAAATCTGATGACAGAGCGTACTTGGTGTATGGAGGGAACACTTCTACAGACTAGTAAATGGCAGTCAAAATTCAACACCCGGAGATGGCGAACCCGAAACCCTAATCGATTATGATGGAAAAGGCATTCCATTACCCGACTGTGATGAAGTTCGAGTCGATAACTTACTGACTGAGCAATTTAAACATGCAGAATATAGCCGAACGTTAGCATTATAGGAAATTATGTGTGCTTAACCCAATTCATAAAAATGAGAACTCCACCGTCTACGCCATTTACAGTGGGGTTAGCCTCTTAGATATCGCATATAAAATTCTGTCGAGGGTATCAAGTGAAAGGAGATTACCTACTGTGAGCAAACTTTTTAGGCTTTATCCACCTGGCTTTAGACCTGGTAAATTCACTATTGACCAGATATTCTCCATGCGCCAAGTCTTGGCCAGAAGCCGTGAAAAAAGAATCGATACACATTGCCTTTTTATAGCCTTCGATAGTACAGTAAGCAGCTACCTCCACGCCCCTATAGCTGCATTCGATATTCCTGCAAAACTTATACAGCTGTGACAAACTGATGCTGGACAACACCAGAAGCGCTGACAGAGTTGTAATGAACCTCTCCCAGCGGGCTTGGCTCCTACGTCACTGTCAACAGTCATAACTTCTAGGTCGTATCTTTGATCTATCTAGGAACCATTATTAAAACCAGTAGTAAGCCTTGAAATCCAACGCAAAATCACTTTTGCTAACAGGTGCTTAAGTTCGCACTCGAATTACCAATATCAAACTCTACATGCCGCTCATTATTCTCGTCCTAATATAAGGTTGTCAAATGTCCGCTTTTTTGTCTTTTGAATTTCGCGGCTATGTACAAAGCGCTACAGAGCTCGTATGGCTAGAAAAACGTTCCGTGAGATTAATGGTGTTTTGGGGGATGGTACTCTATCACTTCGAACCGCGGAGGAATGGTTTCGATGATTCAGAGCCGGTGAAAACGACACCATGGATAAGCCAGCCGGCGGAAGACCTGTGACGACAAATACCGATCAAATCATGGAATATATCGAGTTAGACCGGCATATGGCATCTCGTGACATCGCCCAGGAGATGGAACCATTTTGAACCATCTGCAGAAGGCTGGATACAAAAAAAAGNAAAGCAGTTCCAACGCCAATGAGTAAGAAGAAGAACTGTACGATTCACACTTCGAAGTCATTAATTGCTAGTTACCATGACGACTTGAG